TTGAGGCAACAGACAACGGCTACATTGAAATTTAGAATTTTTTCTTTCTCTTGTTTTACAAAAATAATCTTGACCGTTAGTAAATGTTTACCGTGAAATAGAAACTCAATTCGTAATTCCAAAACTAAATGAATGCGTAGTTATCAAATTAATGTTTCTTATTCCTACGTGGTTATTAAAAAAAAAAGATTAACTAACATAACCGAACCAATAAAATATTGACGTTTCTTGTTAAAATTAAAACTGACGATCATTGAATTAAAAGATCAATACGGATTTTGTTACTAAGATAAACAGAAACGTGGTTCATCAGTGATTATGTTTAGTTTGGAAGCATCGTATAATGGGATTTAGGTGTTTTCTAGTAGTTATTAAAGGTTTTAAGTAAAAGGTTAGAATTAAATCTCTTGAAATATACAACAGTTTAGGTCCAATTAAATAACCATGAAAAGCTAATGGATTGCAACTCGGGGAGCGAGCTGGTTTAGTTGTTAGAGCGCGGGACTTCAGTACCTGAGGTCCCGGGTTCAAATCCCGCCCAATCACCAATGGATTTTATCCAAGTGATATTGCCGCAACCCCTAGGTCTGGCCTGAAGTAATGTGAAAAACAATCCCAGGCTCGGTCCTAGCGTCTTAGGACGAAAAAAAAGGATTGCAACTAATGTTTGCAGAAAAAAATGTTTGCACTACATACTGCTTATATTGAAAAAAAAAATGTTTCTCTGGCCTTATATTGACTGCTTCTGGTTGGTAACATATTTAACTGTTCTTATGCGATGCATTTTTAGGAACCTGGAAGTGTATTCGCATATTTAAATAATATGATTATAATCTATTTATACCTCCTTATTATAGCCAAACTTCAGTATTACAGTTATCCAGATAATCTTGATACGTTAACATGTCCAGCACTAATCTCCATGAACCCTCTGGGACAAATTGGCCGCCCCCGCAAACATATTTTACAACTGACTCTTGGCCAGGAGACCCTGGGAAAGGTCGTAGACCTACCATTTCGTCGACTCTTGACAAAAAACAGTATATCTGTTAGATGGGAGACGATGTATCATAAACCAAAGGTTAATTAATTAATAATTGCCTCATGCTAGATTTGATTTATTGTTCTGTTGTTAAACACATTTATTATTTTATAAAATATTCTGTTTTCAATTGTTTAACAAAATGTTAAGAATAATTAATTATTAGCGGTCCCGATTTTATTTTGACTTATGACAAGGGACTCCAGTAGTTTATTGATTTTTGTTGAACAGTACCAGGTATAAGTAATTCATTTGTTTTGGCTATTTTTATGATTAATTGCAACACACTGCTGATGTCTGCCAGTGAGGTACGATTAAAACCAACACTAAGCTTCTCCATTTACACAACTAAATATCAATTTTTTTAGTAAGTCATGTTAGGCACTGTCAAAGTCTTTTAAAATGACCATTATAATTCTGACTACTTTTCCCTTTAAACAAATTACAGATACAGATTCGCAGAAATTAACTTCTCAGATTGCTATGTTGGTGACGAAATAACAACAAAATAATATAAACAGAAAATCAAAACAGATTAAAGAAATTCCAATCAAATGTTTTATTTTTACAGTGTGGGTTGAAAATATAGAAATTTGCAGAATACATACTTTTGGTCGAGTTTTCGACCACGGGGCAAGCTCTCGTAAAACCATAATTTTATTTATAATAGAAGGATACCGTTCTCAGTCCTGGACAACACTGATTCACGGTCCTTTTCCCGGTAATCAAAACTCAAGTACAACTTGATACATCCAGAATCTCCGGTTCCCGACCTAGATGATGGTTGTTATTTAATTTAATTTACAGTTACATATATAAGTAGGCCTACCTGTGATAAATCAAATCCGTTATGTAAGCCACGTGGTTATTAATCTCACTTGATTTTGGATTTGCTTACAAACGTGATCGGAAATGTTTAGGACTTACACAGTATTCGTTTCATTTATGTAAACATATCAGTGACAGCTAGATAAAGGAATCTTTATCCAAGCAGCTGATCGTAATTTCATATATGACGTATTCTATGACGTTGACGTAAACATGGAGAAAGAAAACTTGAAAAAATCACACAAACTGGGGTTTTGATCGTCAGTTATTTATTTTTTTTTTAATCGTGAGGCCATAATTTATTGGCTAAGGACACTCTCACTAATCCTGTTAATAGAATTATAAAATATTAGAATCATGATCAGTACTCTAGTTTTCTGTGGCTGCGTAAAATGCTTTCTGGGCCTTGACAGAGAGACAGAATTTGAGATATAAGACATATTTCAACTTCTTTATTGTAAAAATGATCAAAAATATGTATAATTCTGAGCAATTTACAGACAAACCCCTAATTTTATTTATATAGATTAACTGGGTTTGAATGTTCAAAATCTAAAAATATTCTTTTAGTTTTACGAATAATGCTGGGTGGGGGAATAATGTTTCACATTTGATGTGTACCTCAAAAGCCGGGTTTACACGATGCCAGTTAGGCAAGCCAATTGTCTTAGCCAATTGTCATCACGTGGTTGCGGAATTGTCGTAGGCCAGGCAAGTTGAACGAGAACCTGTTCAGACGTGGCCAACACTTGCCCAGGCATTTACAGCGAACCAGGGTAATACTGCCAAAATACAGGACAGTGCTATTTGGCCTCTACACCATTTACACGGTGCCAATTGTCACGACAACTGGGTTTTCGAGGGGTGGGGGCCTCACTGGGCCCAGCTCATTGTCCTCAGTCTACTCCCGGAGACAACTGAATTTCGGGGCAATTGGCGGGCCAATTGGCTTGCCAATTGGCCTGAAGTGTTTACATGAAGCCAGTAATTTCAAGCCAGTCAGTTGTCTCCTGCAAATTTTCTCGCCAACTGGCATCGTATAAACCCGGCTTTATGGTGGGGGGGGGGGCTGGTGCCTAATTGAGGGGTGGGGGGGGGGGTGCGTCATGAGTCTAGGTGGGGATGGGCACCCCTGACTTCTGTGCCATCACAGACTTTTCCTGCCCCGAAATTATATTTTTGTTTATATAAAAGAGTATCAAATAAGTTGCCAGCGCTCTAGTTTAAGAGGGCTCTAAACCTATCCCGAACGGCTGAAAAACACACCTCCGTATTACTCAAATTCTGAGCTTAATTTATTGAACAATCGTGTTGGTATGTGCAAGAAAGTTTACAATAAGTTGGTCAATAATGAAAACAAATAAGCATCCACAAAAAATTAAAAAAAAGCAAATTAAATTAAAAAAAGCAGCCAGCTCTGAAGAAATTTCGATTAAATTGACATTGAAGTTTGAGGAGTATGTTTTATCGGTACTTACGTATTATACGGAGGCCACTTATTTTACAGCGCGCTGCGGCGGTTGGGTTAAGTTGGGTTATCATAAATATGTTTGTAGAACTTTCCTAGTTTCGTTATGAATCGAACTATACGAGATGAGTCATAAAAACTTATGATAACCCAACCTAACCTAACCGCCGCAGCGCGCTGTAAAATAAGTGGCCTCCGTATAATACGTAAGTACCGTTTTATCTATGATTGAAGAGTTCCCGCAACAATATGTGGTAAATTTGTACCATAACGTTACACGTTTCCTTTTGGAGATATATAATCAATGCTAACTCAAACCGAGCACAGTATCAACTGTTATGCACATCAATATATTTTATTTACTGAATATTTTATTTTATTCATAGAGACAAGTAAATTAATTTATGTGAGTTTGATATAGTACTGATGATCAAATTAACGGTGAATGGCGTCAAAATCAAGACAGCCCTGGGTCCGCCCACTATTCACACTTCTTATTCTTATTCATTCAACAGAATAGAGAAACAGTGAAACGAAACAGTGGGAGTGGAGTGAATAGTGATGGGACAAACGACTGATTTCAACCATCCGATGTTTCATCCGATGGTTTTGCTTTCATCCGATAGTCTTCAGATGGATGATTCATCCGATGGTTTTGAGTGTAGTGGGGTGGGGAGCGTCCGTGCTGCTTTCGGAGACAGATAAAACTATCCAACTAGAGAACGAATGGATAAACCATCAGTTCGCGCGCCTGATCAGATAGATAGTTTTGGTTATGTTGGCATTTGGCGGTCCTATCCAGCGCCATGTTTCGGAGGATTTACCCGTGCATGAACAAATAGATCATCAACAAATAGTAATTAATAATATGTGTTGCGTGATTAAAGAACTAATATGTATTGTTAAAAAATTACTTGCCTCTTCTGTTTTATTTTTATTCTATATATTTATTTATGTTTCATTAGTTTAAAATTATTTAAAATAAATAATTAATGTTTCCTTAAGGTTTGTTATTCACTATTTAAGAAGATAATTCCCTTTTATCTAAGTTGCTTGGTTATTTAATTTTAATATTTTGATGTGTCTAAATTATGACCACTCGGTATATTGGATATTTATTACTCACGTAATAATTTTACGCCAAAAAGGTAACAAGCTGTTTGTACAAATTAAAAAGTCTTCATAATTTAAACTACGTAATTAATAATATCTGCCCAAATGCATTTAAGTTACTGTTGTTCTGAGCATGAGCAGATGATTGGATGATTCACCTGATAATGGATGAATAAATAACCCATTTAATATCCCTTTGTAGAAAAATAAGTTAAACAAATTAACTCATCGGGCAAATAAACAATTTCACCATTAAATAAAGAACAGTTTCAGTTGTCAAATGACTAATTCATAGTTTAAACTAACGAAAATTCCACACGGATAGTTTTACAATTGAATGAAAACGTGGAACGGGTGGTTTACAGACAGACTAGATAGTTGATTCGGCTGATTCACCTGTGATAGAATGGATGGTTCATCCGGATGAAAATTAAAGTAACCATCGGATGAATCGGTTGGCGCGCAACAACCGGATGAATCGTTTGTTTCTATCGGATAGTTCCCATCACTAGGAGTGAAGCAGAAACACTCAACACTGTCACCGACGGAGTGTCACTGTCACTAAGCTTATTTTATAGTTACTTACTTTACTACACACACTAAACACAACATAGACAGAAGACACTGAAGACAGGCAAGGTCGAGCATGGCGTCAACTGTTGACAGATACAAAGTGATTTCGAACGGCAACGGTAAAATGAGTGACGAAAATTCGGAACTTAAGGAGACTTTTGATGCTGTAAGTGTTTATCTGTTTTTAAAACCAATTAACAAATGTTTTAGCTGTAGTCACAGATATGATAATGCAAGCTTTTTGCATCTCTTCTTTCGATACCTTAACCTAAACCCTAAACTTGCAGATTTGTCTCCCATGAGTATCACCAGGATCTCTTTGGACAATTATTACGAAAAATTACCAGTTTATATCATTTCTAGGCCTAGTTTAAGATAATTACATATTAACAAGCAGTTTACTAAGAGTTATTTTCAATCGTGGATGTTTGACACCCCGATCCGGGGGGTCTGGGGATCCTCCCCCGGAAAGATTTAAAAAAATAATAGCTGTAAACTAGTGTTTTTATGCAATCTAGACGTAATAATTTGTAAAACATAAATTGTTTATTAATTGAGTTTTTATCATATTAAACCTATTTGTAAGTTCATTGGACGGAACATATCTTTACTTAGAAATCTCCTCAAAAGTGGATAGCTTCACCAAGTGCACGTAAACACCGGGAACTGATCGAAGGACACTCACAAATGGTGGGTCACATCACTTTTGTTCGTCTCAAACTTATGTTTAATAAACGGATATTTCGCTTGTAACTCACTATTAAATGTGCATTTCCGTTTGGTCATTATCTAATGCACAATTGAACAGTAACTTACAATAATCAAATCACAAACAAACTTTCTTCGCACCGAATATTATCTAAAAGTTAGAGGTTAAGGTACTGTAAACAGCTTGACAGTTTACTGACAACAGTGACAACCTGCGTCTTTTGAGGCCGTAGCCGTAGTAGCCTACAGCGCTTCAACACTCGCGCAGAAATAAATTGTACTAGTGCCGATCGTTGACGAGTATACGAGGTTGGCAGCATTTATCAACCGCATACTTAAATGAAAGGTCTTGATGTGAATAATATCAGTTTTTGGATAAACCCTCTCCTAAATGCAAGATCCTAATTAAAGACATGCATTTTTAATCACATTTAAAATATTGGAGATACCTACATCATCTGTTGGATTTGTTTTTGTTAAGTTCATTGTTGTACTTTTAAAAACACAGCAATTGAGCTGGCAAATTTTGTGTAAGTTCTTAGTCAAGTGACACACGAACTATAGAGATTGGAAGGAGTCGTTATGTGTCTGACTGAGAAAAAAAACACATTTTCCTCGTAACATGGACGTAGATAAAACTGATCTACATCTTACATCAAGAACAAGCGCTTAATAATCCAGCAGTTTTTCATTGGACGAGCCAGTAAATAATCGTCATATCTTCTCTGCGTTCTCTCCCCTTGGGGAGGCACGGGCAGAACAACTAGCTTTTAACGTTAGGTTAACGAGTACTGCCGGGCCTACATAGATTTGCTGCTACAAGGAAGAAAAAAAGTGTTTTGGGTTAAAACGTTAACAGTACAGTAGATAACTTATTGTGAAACAAATTTATTTGCCAAATTTTATCAAAATAGGCCTATATCCGTAAACAAGCAAACTACAGCCAATTAACTTGTTCTCCATAAGAATAAAATGGGAATTATAAAGTTAGGCCTACAGTTTTTTAATTTTCTACGTAACCATTAATCGCACAGCAACACTTCAACATACAAAATTATTTGTTTTTTAAAGCTCTATATGATGGGTATAGCCTAATGAAAATTAGACAATTTGATATTCAAAGGGTACAAATTTGTTAAGAACCTAGTCTTAATTTGAAAAAATTTAAACCCTTATGTCATCCTCTTCCGATTAGGCCTAGCTGATCTTCCTGACGTTGACCAGCTCTACATGAAACACATACATGCCATCAACATCGGACCGAAATTGCTCTAGTTTTCGTGTTCATTGTCACACACACTGATATACAATGCTCGATTTGCGGGAGAACGTGGCGGAACGGAGTTCCAGTACCTCTCTTTCGGAAAGACCAAAATATTGACATAAATAGGTACTAATGACATTAAATAGGTTTACAGTTCCAGCATCTTATTTTTTTCATATTGAGCACTGCATATATATATATTATTACCTTCTTTCCTATAGAGAGGGAAATTCGCTAAAAGGTTAAATTACCTGTTGTTGCCTTATGGTCTAAGTTTCATCATAATCATGCACATTGCACATGCCATCTTCAAATCCTTAAAAGAATTAAAGCTAGCCTGACGAGATGTGTCAGAAGTTAAAAAAAACCCACCGCAGCAAACCTGCAGACTAAGCGAATTTCCATTTTCCTGATACACCAAAATGTCTAGGCCTACTTAAAAATGTTTAACAAGTACTTGGTTTGCTGCAGGGAGGGTAAAACTGTTTTTTGTTTTTTTTTTGTAAAAAATGTTAATAGTTACTTTGAAATAAAAACATTTTCCAAATTTGATCAAAATATATTCGTAAACAAGCAAACTACATCAGTTTACTTGTTCTCCATAAAAATAACATGTGAATTTTTTTGGAATTTCCTCCGTAACCATGAGGCGCATAATAACGCTTCAATATACTAAATTATTTGTTTTTTTAAGCTCTACAAAATGGTTTGGAAAGAAATTGCTAAATTTGATTTTTTTGGGTCAAAAATGGGAAAAACCTCTTTTTACCCCATAAAACCCCCCTGGTTCGTGATCTCCTTCGAATAAATGTAGGTTTACACGTTTATACCAAATTTCATCAAAATCGGATCATTTTTTCGAGTTATCGTGCTAACGGACACATATATATATAACTTATACCTATATATATATATATGAATTCGAATAGATGGTGTTTTTGGCCTCTAGGGACCTCAAAACGAAAAAAAATCGGTCCCGCGTCCAGGTCTTACCATGAGTACTACGGTAATAGCTTATTCCCTAAATTGGAAATTCGCTTTAAAGTACATCAACATAAAACACTAATCGACTTATTCAACAAGCTTTTACTAGGCCTATTCTATCGTAACACAAAATGTGTAGGCCTATGCATGCACCTCTTAAGGCAAGATTAGTTCTTATAAGGATCTGATAATGATAACTTAAAAGTTTGATTAAAATAGCACAATTTTATTTTTATGTACATATAACTTAACCCTATCGAACATGTGAAATTTACAAAATTATTTGTTAGTACAATTGAATGAAACTAATTTCTCAGTGTAAATTGGTTGAATGTATTTTAAATTCAAACTTAAATGCAAGTTCATATGAATATTTTGCTACCCTGGATTAAAATGCATAAGGAGGGATGGATACATAAATTATGAGACTGTCCCAAAAATGTAGGAAGGTTGGCTACCCTGATAATAGCTTTGGGGATAGAATTTCACTCTCAGCATTTTCCCATATAGGGAATATTGGCGAATTTCCCAAATAGGGAATAAGCTTTTACCGTAGGTCTCATGGTAAGACCTGGACCCAGAGCCGATTTACTTTTCCGTTTTGAGATCCCCAGAGGCCAAAGACACCATTCGTTCACATTCATATAACCTAAGTTAAATATATAACTCACACACATAACACCGTAGTTTTTAGCGAATTTCCCACATAGGGAATAAGCTATTACCGTAGTACTCATGGTAAGACCTGGACCCAGGACCGATTTACTTTTTTGTTTTGAGGTCCCTAGAGACCAAAAACCCCATCTGTTCAAATTCATATATATATATATATATTTATATATGTGTCCGTTAGAGTGATAACTCGAGCAAAAATCATCCGATTTTCATGAAATTTGGTACAAACTTGTAAACCTACGTTTATTTGAACGAGTTCGCGAACCAGCATGATCGGACTATGGAAACAGGGGTCTATGGGGGGTTTTATGGGGTAGAAATTGGTTTTTTCCCATTTTTGACCCTAAAAACTTTAAATTTAGCAATTTCTTTCCAAAACATTTTGTAGAGCTTAAAAAACAAATAATTTAGTGAATTGAAGCGTTGTTACGCGCCTAATGGTTACGGAGAAAATAATAAAAAAAACTGTAAATTTAAAATTCCCATGTTGTTCTTATGGAGAATAAATAAACTGTTGTAATTTGCTTGTTTATGAACATATTTTGATCAAATGGCAAATGGAAATTCACTTAGTCTGCAGGTTTGCTGCGGCGGGGGTATTTTTAATTTTCTCTAAACTGATACAACACCGCTTCAATGTAGGCTACTAAGTTATTTCTTTTTTGTAAGCTATAAAAAATTTTTAGAAAGAAATTGCAAAACGTTATATTTTAAGGGTCAAAAATAGGAAAACCAATTTTTACCCCATAAAACCCCCCATAAACAGCCCCGGTCCCATAATCTGATCTTGCTGGTTCCCAAACGTATAAACGTCTTTGTTTTACACTTTTAAACCAAATTTCATCAAAGTCTGATCTTTTATTGCTCGAGTTGACGTGGTAACGGGCATATATTTATATTATTTATATTATGAATTTGAACGGAGGGTGTTTTTGGCCTCTGGGGACCTTAAAACAAAAAAGAAATCGGTCCCGGGTCCAGGCCTTACCTTCATGATGTTATTTATACTATTAATATTAGCTTATTAATAGCTTTCTATGGGAAATATGCTAAAAGTTACATGCAGTTTTATATTCCTATTTGATATGTAGGCCTAGGCTATATTGTAAGATGTGAATAGTTTAGGTTGTTAAAAAAACAAATTCCCAGTTCACTGTAACTGTAAACTTTTTAGCGAACATAAGGAATAAGAATTTGTTTATTGTCTTTCAGGCTACATAAGCATTAACAAAGTCAAATTTACAGCAGAAATGCCAAGTCTCTATAAGGGTAATATCACATATCATAGAAATATACAATTCATAGGAACTATACAAGAATAAAAAATTATACATAACAGATTTTAAACATTAAAATTCTATATGTTTTAATAAGAAAAACTCACTAAGTGAATAGAAAGGATTTTTTAATAACCACTCAAAAATTTGTTCTTAAAAACTTTAACAGTATATTTTTCTTACTAAGATTAATTGCCTTATTATATACCTTAAGGGATAGTACTACATGACTAGACAGTGATTTGCTGAGCCTATTGT